TGCGACACGCCCCCGGCCAGCATTCAGCCCATATCTGTGCGAGCGAAAGCTTGGGAAAATATCCCCGACATGCCGAAATGGGTTTTGAACATAATAAAACACGGTTACTCGCTCCAATTCGCTCGCAGACCGCCCCGCTTCACAGCAGTGGTAGAGACGAAAGTGAGAAAAGATGTTTCACATGTTCTACGCACCGAGATGCTCAAACTGATAGAGAAAGGCGCTATAGAAACAGTGCCCCCCTCTATGAGCGAGGCAGGTTTTTACAGCCGCTATTTTCTCGTCCCGAAAAAGGATGGCGGTCTCCGCCCCATCCTAGATCTCAGACATCTGAACAAAGCTTTAATGATTCGCTCGTTCAGAATGTTAACAACCAAGCATATCCTCGCGCAAGTTCGCCCGGGGGATTGGTTTCTGTCAGTGGATCTGAAAGACGCTTACTTTCACATTCCAATAGCGCCTCATCACAGGCCATTTCTGAGATTCGCTTTCGAGGGACAGTCATACCAGTACACAGTACTACCATTCGGCCTGTCACTGGCACCCCGTACATTTACGAAATGTATGGATGCAGCACTTTCCCCCCTGAGACAGCGGGGAGTGCGACTACTAAATTATCTCGACGATTGGCTAATACTAGCACAATCAGAGAGCCAGTTAGTGACACACAGGTCTTGGATTATCAGTCATCTAGAGTGCCTAGGTCTAAAAATCAATTTTGCAAAGAGCATGCTATCCCCCAGCCAGAATATTTCTTTTCTGGGAATAGTGCTAGACTCGGTGCAGATGACAGCACGCCTCTCATCAGAGCGCGCGCTCACTATTCGGCGCCTTGCAACATCGTTCAGAGCGGGTGCGCGCGCCCCCGTCAAGCGATTTCAGAGGATGCTCGGTCTCATGGCCTCAGCATCAGCTGTACTCCAGCTAGGATTGTTGCACATGCGTCCTCTCCAACGCTGGCTCAAGAGCCGTGTCCCCACTCACGCATGGCGCTCGGGCCACTTTTTAATCAGAGCAAATCACGGCTGCATAAAAGCCCTGACGCCCTGGAAAGCTGTCGACTGGTATCAGTCCGGCGTGAGTTTGGGCGTGAACACAAGGAGAAAAATGATCACGACAGATGCCTCCAAAATAGGTTGGGGGGCCCTTTACGAGGGCAGGCCTGTCTCCGGCTTGTGGTCAAACCCGGAGAAGCGCCTACATATAAACTGTCTGGAATTGAAAGCGGTCGCTTTGGCTCTCAGAGCCCTGCTCCCGTACCTGAAGGACGAGCACGTCCTAGTCCGAACGGACAACATGACGGTAGTCTCGCATATAAATCGTCAGGGTGGACTCAGATCGAGCTCCCTGCACTCGATGGCCAGGGAGCTCCTACTATGGTCCCAGCGCAACCTGCGCTCGCTGAGAGCGGCGCATGTGCCAGGTGTTCTGAACCAGGGAGCGGACATGCTGTCCAGAGACAAAGTTCTCCCAGGAGAATGGTCTCTCCACCCCCTGACGATTCAGTGGTTATGGCAAACCTTTGGCAGAGCAGAGGTCGACCTCTTTGCCTCCAAGGAAAATGCGCACTGCCCTCTCTTCTTTTCAAAGAGCACAGACGCGCTCGCCCAAGTCTGGCCGAGCCGACCGCTGTATGCCTTCCCTCCGGTCGCGATGCTACCTCAGGTCATCAGTCGGATCAGGGAGGAAAAACGTGCAGTGCTCCTGGTAGCCCCACTCTGGAAGAACCAGACGTGGTTTCCAGAACTGATGCAGATGACGCAATCTGCCCCATGGCCGATTCCACTGAGGCTAGATCTCCTCAGGCAGGCCAACGGGATGATCCTCCATCCCCGCCCCGATCTGTGGGCCCTCCATGCGTGGCCCCTCAACGGATTCCCGGGAACCTCCCCAGTGGAGTGTTGAGAACCATCACTGAGGCGCGAGCGCCCTCTACGAGGCGCTTATATGCCCAGAAATGGAAGGTGTTCAGTGACTGGTGTAAATCCAGGAACCTGAATCCTGAGACATGCGAAGTGCCGAGTGTGCTCGTTTTCTTACAAGAGCTGTTGGAGGCAGGCCGCACCCCCTCCACGCTCAAAGTATATGTGGCTGCCATAGCGGCATCACATGAACCGGTCGAAGGACGCACACTAGGGAAAAACTGCCTAGTTGATCGTTTCCTGAGGGGCGCCAGGAGGATGAATCCCCCACGCCCCCCCTCGGTGCCGATTTGGGACCTGGCCACGGTCCTGGACGCACTTAAGCGTGCCCCGTTCGAACCCCTCCAAACTGTGCACCTTAAACAGCTCTCGCTCAAAACTGCTCTCTTGCTGGCTCTCGCCTCGGTCAAGAGAGTGGGCGACCTGCACGCGCTGTCATCAAGCGCTAACTGCCTGGAGTTTGGACCTAACGACAGCAGGGTTGTCCTCAGGCCAAAACACGGGTATATTCCTAAGGTGCTCTCTACTCCTTTCAGAGCACAGGTGATATCTTTGGCCGCGCTATCGTCCCCAGCAGACGAAAGTGACGCTAATTTACTCTGCCCGGTCAGGGCACTCAGAGTATATTTGGAACGCTCTGCCCTGTTCAGACAGACAGAGCAGTTGTTCGTATGCTTTGGCGGCCGCACTAAAGGTCTGGCTGTGTCAAAGCAAAGAATATCGCGCTGGATAGTTGATGCTATAGCGCTGGCTTATGAAGCCAAGGGCCTTCAGTGCCCCTTGGGCATCAGAGCTCACTCTACGAGAGGCATGGCCTCCTCGTGGGCGTGGTCGAGTGGGATACCCATTCAAGATATTTGTGCGGCTGCAGGCTGGGCCTCACCGTCCACATTTATCAGGTTTTATAACCTACAGGTCCCCTCATTGCATTCTAACATACTGTCGGTCTAGCTATCATAGGCTGGGGTGTGTACATGCTAAGCATTGTCTCCTCCCTCATAGAATCACATCTTTGAAACTGATGTGGAGGATTTTTCATACATGACAGTACATGAAAATGTGCTTGTGTGTGTCTCTGGACGCCCATCGGGCCGTTCCACGTTGTCCTTTATAAAACCCGCCTTCGGCTGGCTCGTTGGATAATTACTTCGCTCAAAGGCTCAGGCTCCGGCCTCCGGCTTAATAGAAGCGAAGTCAGCACGCACGGCGTTTTACATGGCGTTCCCATAGCGTAAAGCTATTACGCAATAGGAGGAACCTCTCGAAAGGGAACGACTCGGTTACTAACGTAACCTCGGTTCCCTGAGAGGAGGGAACGAGTATTGCGTAATCTGCCGTGCTTGTGCTTGGTCAGTTTGCTTCAGTCGATTGAACCTAAAGAACTCAGACGACGGGGCGCCCAATATATAGCCCTTGGCCACGCCCATCTTGGCGGGCTCTGACGCGCGTGGGCGCGAAGCACGCTCATTGGAAGCGGGTTCAGAGTCGCCCCGTCATTGGTTCGTGCAAGTTGCCGCAGCACAGCCAATGACCGAGCTGCCTCGCTCATTGCTGTATGCTGTGCAGCTGCAATGCGTTTTACATAAAGACTTCAATATTTCTCGAGAAAAGGAGTTTTCCCATAGCGTAAAGCTATTACGCAATACTCGTTCCCTCCTCTCAGGGAACCGAGGTTACGTTAGTAACCGAGTCGTTTTCTATTAAATTATGTCTTGTGTAATCATAGTGAATTCAGGTTGATTAGGACACTTTTTGGCAATGGCACTCAATGGCAAAAAGTGTCCCAATCATCATGAATTCACCCCTATAAAAATGCAATGTCATTTAAAAGCTGGCTGGCTAAAATCTTGCATGAACAACTAGTATAAAAAGCATCCATAGAATTGTCAAATTAAATTCAAGCTAGCAATACCCATTAGAGATGAGAAACCTGGACATCAATACATAAAATAACCATTTGGAAGAGTGAGAGATTGGGAAACATCACTTTATAAGTCAGACTCAAACCTATATCACTCACACGGGCACCACGACTTCAATGTGCCAAGCATGTATGCATCTGCTGAACTGCTGAATGCTTTTTGCAGACACTTTTATCCCAAAAATCTACATTGCATTCAAGATATACATTTTATCAGTTTATGTCTTTCTATGGGAATCAAACCCACAACCGTAAAACTGTCAATACTGTCAAAACTTTTTGAGCTACAGGAACTCCCAGACTTAGGAGAAACAGTTCCGGAAACTTTCACTGTACTGCACTGTATGCACAATCCATACCACAGCATATACTATGCACAAATTCATTTCAAATCAACAGATTCAGAGAACTGATGTTTGTTGCTACACCACAGTATGTTTGAAGGGGAATTCAACTGAAAAACTATGTGGCCACAGGCAGTAAGTTGAAGCTTAAGCAACTTTACATTACCACAAATCAACCACCAATGCAAAGTAATGCATATGGGATAAAACATTTTATAGTGATAATTTAGCAATTGATTTATAGAATGTTTTTCAGTATGCATTTGCAGCATATGCACTTTCACACATGTAGACAAGCACTTGTGGTCAAAAATGCATATGCAACATATGCAGACTCATGCAGGTATATATGCACACATGCATTATTAAAAAAACAAACAAGGAGAAAAAAAAACAGATGCTATTGGATATAGTTGTTGGAAATAAACCCAGCTGATAACCACTGATAACAAGTTTCGATTTCACACAAAACAAATTTCTGCAACTTTCAACCTTATCTGATAATTAGCAAACTTTCGGTTTGCTATTGACTCATTGGGAGCGCATGTCAACAAACCCCCAACCTAGTTTCTCACAGTCCGAAAAGCGGTTGGCAACCATTGCTATTCTCAAAGGCCACTGCGACCTTGTGAATTGTTTGAGTTGCTCCTGGGGTACGGGGTTAGTGACGTCACTTGAGAGCATCTCATCTTTGATAGGAAACCTTCATAGAAAAGTAGCCCACAGAAACCCCAAAACCCCAAGCGCATCCACTGCCGCCTTCATACCGTTGCTCTTTTTAGGTTGTGCTCCTATATAAACCCCCCGCCACTTTCCGATCATCAACACTCACCTGCTGACTAGCATCAGTTCACAACCTCTTGTTTAAAGCCGCTTGAAACACGAACACAAAGAATGGATTCTTGGCTCAACATGGTGCTGATGTGTGGACTTCTGTTAATAGCATCTCTTCAGACAACCAACTCGTTCAGATTTAGACGGTCCGAGAAGATCAAATCACTTGAGACAAATATCCACCATCTGCAAAACGATTATGTAAGTGATATCTACTGTCATGAACTTCTGCAGCGGGTTTGAAAGCAATTCAGTCTGTGTATGCAAGATGAATCACTGATAATCCTACTCATATCTGTATGCTATAGTTAGGTCTTGCAGCTAATATTAGCAAGAAGAGACCTATTGCACAATAAACTTTGTGACACTTTGATCTTAGATTAGGGCTTACGATTCACAAGAGATGCACATTCATTCATAACTCTCGCTGTTCTATGCCCACTTTCTTTAGAACACACTTGGCACAGAATGGGTAGCAAAGTCTGTTTTTGCTTCTCATCTGGACCAGCTGAATGTAAGTTTTTACTATGCAAAATGCTAAAATATGAAAATGCTATTGAATGATATATATATGCCTCTGAATATTTCGTGCTAATGCTATTTGTTTCTCTTAGTCCAAGGCTTCCTGCACTTGTCAGGCGCTGTTCCTTGAAAGAATGCTGAACATCTATGAAGATATGTTCAAAGACATGATGAACAAGTCTGAGAAGAAAGAAGTGAAAAACAATCTAACAAATGTAATGAGTGAGGTGAAAAGGCTGAGACACATGTACCTTTCAGAAAATAAAGTATGGAAAGAGCTTCAGAACATTGACTTAGTCAAGGTAAACATAAAGAGAAAGTCTTTATAAGTCCTGTCTTCATTGTGAAATGTGTTCATTTTTAGTTGTTGATTTGCTGTTTATGATATAATATGATATCAGGCCATGTGATATCATATATATGATATGATATCTAATACCTATGTTTGTTCTCCCTCAGGTGAAAAATGGAACAATCCAAGGAGGAGCATTGAATGACTTTCTTATGGTGTTTAATCGGGCCTCTACAGAAAAACACCAATGAAAAGATCTAAAAGTCCTGTCTTTCATTCAGTATACTTGTGCTTTGTTATTGCATTAGCCTATTTATTTATAAATTATGTGGAAATAATTATTTATTTTTTACTTTATAATGTACTTTACTACACCATCCATAAATTAAAATCTAACTTATTCTCATTGCAAGTGTGTTTGCATCATTTACAGTGTACAGAAATGGTGAATCTAACTGGATTTGCTTGAAATATTTTGTGAGCTTCATTGGCTAAATGGTTAATTACAATAAAAATGATTTTGCATTAAATTTCGGCTCAGCTTGTTCAATAACAAACTTTACAATGTACGTTTAAATGACATTACACATGAACGCACACCAAATACAAAAATGTTCAAATAAAGGCTGGAATACACTCCATGGTTTTAGCACAGATTTTTGGCCGATTTGCTGTCTAAAAGAAGTTGAGGCTAGTTGCTGAGTCAGATATAGGATAAGTCAGAGCCAGTCTGTAAATATTGGTTAGTTCAGAGAAAATCATGTAGCGCATGTAGGAGGATATCAAACATGTTTGATATTTTGAGCTGGTTTTAGACCATTTTATTATTATTTTCATTTGTTATGCTACACCTAGCAATGTTTCTACATGTTATTGGGTTTGTAATGACTCAAACGTCTGGTAGTGATCTGATTTGTTTAGTGTATGATGTCCAGTTTTTCTCATTTACAAAGTCAGCAAGTGTATGATGCCTAGTGTTTCAGATTTTAAAAGTCATGTAGTGTATTCCCTCCTCAAGTACTTGACACGTTAAGGGGTGAATGTCATTCAAACAAGCTCTAAAATGTGAAAGAAAAATGTTTTTGATTGTTTGAACCGGAACCACAGACAAGTGTTCCTGTAGCTTAGACAGTAGAGCATGGCCTATAGCACAGGGGCATCAAAACCTGGGCTGTTCCTCAATACCAAGTCCCGGAGGGCCACTATCATGCAGTCCTGAGTTTAGCTCCAACCTTAATTGAACACACCTGAAGCAGCTAATCAAAGTCTTCAGACTCACTAGAAACAGAGATGAGCTGTGTTCGAAATCCCCCTATACCCTCATTCACTCTTCCCTACATTACTCAAAACCTATGTCACATTTTTAATAGGTCTGTTTTGAGTGGCACTTTTCCTGAGCTTTGGAAACAGTCAAAAATGATACCCCTTCTGAAAGATGCAAAAGTGGGCTTTAATGGATCAAATAGTAGACCAATCAGTTTACTTCCAGTGTTAAGCAAAATTTTGGAGAAGATCATCTTTAATCAAATAATGGATTATTTCAGTACAAATGAATTGATGACACATTTCCAACATGCATATAGACAAGGTTTTTCCACAAACACTGCTCTAGCACAAATGACAGAGGAGTGGCTAACATGTTTAGATGAAGGGAAACTAGTAGGAGCTGCGTTTTTGGATTTTACAGCAGCTTTTGATGTAATAGATCATAGTCTTCTCATAGCCAAACTCAAAGCATATGGTTTTTCACACTCAGCATTAACTTGGGTGGACAGTTATCTTTCTAATAGGACGCAACAGGTTTATTTTAATGGAAGTCTATCCAATTGCTTAATTACATCATGCGGCATAGCACAAGGAAGTTGCCTGGGTCCACTTTTTTTTTCAATATTTATAAATGATTTTCCATATGTTTTTAGAAAGGCTCGTGTAGTTATGTATGCTGATGATGTAACTTTATTCAATGCAGCATCAACATTGCCTGAACTCAATGAGAATCTTCAGCATGAGTTAAATAGCATGAGTCCTTCGGATGAGACGTTAAACCGAGGCCCTGACTCTCTGTGGTCATTAAAAATCCCATGGCACTTCTCGTAAAAGAGTAGGGGTGTAACCCCGGTGTCCTGGCCACATTTCCACCCATTGGCCCCTGCCAATCATGGCCTACTAATAATCCCCATCCACTGAATTGGCGCTATCACTCTCTCTCCTCTCCAACTATAGCTGGTGTGTGGTGAGCGCACTGGCACCGTTGTACTGTGGCTGCCGTCACATCATCCAAGTGGATGCTGCACACTGGTGCTGGTTGAGGAGAGAACCCCTGATATGATTGTAAAGCGCTTTGGGTGTACAGTAGTACATATGAAAGCGCTATATAAATGCCTCATTCATTCATTCATTCAAATACAGTAGTGGACTGGGTGAAAAAGAATAAATTAGTACTGAATATTTCTAAAACTAAATGTATGATATTTTGCAATAGATACATGTTACCAAGTATCACCCCACTTAATCTGCATATAGAGAACAATGTGGTCGAGCAGGTTACTAGATTCACACTGCTGGGTGTTAGACTTAGATAATTTATTATCTTGGTCAGACCAGATTGACCACATTGTCAGTAAGATGGGCAGGGGTATCGCTATGTCCAGAAAATGCTCTGTATATTGTCCAACTGCTATATTGAAAAACGTCGTCCAAAGTCTTGTTCTGTCTCACTTATATTATTGTCCAGTATAGTTTGGAGTAGCGCGGCCCAAAAATATCTAAGAAAACTTCAAGTTCAAATTGCACAGAATAGAGCAGCCAGAGTAGTTCTGCACTGTTCTTTTCGCGCTAGTGTGCGTGAGATGCATATTAGATTATCTTGGTTAACAGTAGAGGCAAAAGTAAAATATAATCTTTTGTTGCTTATGCACAAGGTCATGGCTAATGAAGCATATAACTTTATAAAAGAAAAAATATTGTTTAGTGGATATGGTCATGAGCATGTGACACTCTCAGTCAGCAACAGGATAATGATTACTCCCAGTCCAAGGTGTAATTTTATGAAGAAAACTATTGTATACAGAGGGGCTGTAGAGTGGAACTCACTTCCATCCAGTGTTAGGGAACTTAAAAGTAAATTTTATTTTAAGAAAATAATAAAACAGAGATTACAGGTGTGAAAGTATTACCTAGGTTATTTTATTTTCGCATGTTTGTTTTTGTTTTAAATTGTTTTGAATTACATGCTGAATAGATGTTGCTTTTGCATAACTGTATAATTCAAACTCATTTTAAATGTGTGTCATGGTAGCTAATATATTGTAAAGCTCTTATAGATCTTATTGATGTATTGATTAATTGAATTGTATTTTTGTAATGTGATTTCTGTGGACCCCAGGAAGACTAGCGACCACCATGGTGGGAGCTAATGGGGATCCAAATAAAACAATAAAACAACTAATATAGTCCACTTGATGGAGTGAATGAAAACGAGTAAGCGAATTTGGACTCTGAGTGCGCCGGAAGGGCTGCCACTTTTGCATACCGGTAGTTTGTGCTTGATGTTTAATAAATATTTGAAACTTAGCAAACTGGCGGATCCAGTAGTAATGAAAAGATTTTTCCTAAACTCTGTCATGGGAAACTAGCATGCATAAACCTTAATAAACCTTATTTACCTGTATGATATTACACTGTACCCACATTGGACTAGAGGTTTGGAAAATGAATGAATGGATGATTCCACTGCGGGCGCTATCTTCTGGCAAGATGCGGGAATTCATTCGGCACGACCTTCACAGCGCATTATGGGTATTCTCTAGCCGTTGAGTGTACATCCGTTGTACATTCTTTATTGCGGTGCATTATGGGATTGAATGAGTGCAATGGTTTCGGACACCACTATGGCTCTCCTCTCAAATAGGCCTAGTGCCCAATTTATGGGTATAGGGTATTTATTGGAAGATACAAGGGTGTGTGTCTCTACCATAGGAGAAAGAGTAATGGCTAACTTAGATCATGTGTGCCTTGATAACCAGTCACATTACAGCCTTGACGTCATTGAACTTCATTCAGAGTTGTGTGACAATCACTGTTTGTGGAGACCATATAAATGAATGAGAAGTGCCGTAAACATAATCATACCAGTTGTGCAATTGTCTGTGATTTTTTTTATAAAACAGCATTTTTTTCGGTGTAAACTCTGAAAATAGTTCTATCCAAAACTAGTTTAAGAGCAAACATGGTAACACTTTACAATACGGATGCACTGTGCAGTAATTCATGGTTAACTAATGCACAGATAATTACGTTTTAATGTGTGACTTGAATGGGTCAAAGCCATATATTTCAACCTCCAGTTGTCTGCTTTAATTAATCATTAGCTAATGATTTGCAAAGGTATAATTATGTTATGACTACTTGTTGAGGCACATGACTATTAACTAATTGTTAAGTAATATGTTCATTTGGTTTTGACACCCAAACTAAGCCATGGATTTCAATTTACAGCCCTCTACAACCGGGATTCCACTGCCGCATGCAGTAGCTTGTTGTTCATGACACAGGAATATGTCAGTTTAAGTTTGAGGTCTACGATTTAGAGGCGGAGCACTCTTGTGGCTGGGCACTGCTATTTCGTAACTCTAGACCAGACAAAGACAATAGAACCCATTATAATCAGTGATATACACTGGAAGCGGCGCGACACAACACAACAAAACCACAAACTGATGCCAAATTCTATTTCGGACGCACTACAAGCTCTTGTGCTACTTCTGTTGGGGAGGACAAATAGACTTGCAATGGTCTGTCATGTCGCGTAGACAGCTGGTCGCGTTTGTTCAGCGTAGTGAAGCCTCTCCTCCATTCACATCCATTAAAAAAACTGTGGTCTCCTGCGTACTGTAGTGTTAGCAGACAATACACTTGGCTTTAAGTGGCTTTGCTTTCCAGGTAAGTGTGTTGGAGCAGGTTGGAGCTAAACTCAGCAGGATGTTGGCCCTCCATGAGCGGGATTGGACACCCCTACACTAGCATAACTAGGTCATGGGTTTGATCCCCAGGGAATGCATAGTGATAAAGTAATGAAATGTATGTAATGTAATACAACCGGGGAACACTTCTATGGCATCTACGCTAATGTTAGTCTTTCCATTTATTCTGAGGTTTACTGAAGTCAGCCGGATCCGGGCCGTATCCAGATCAGACGGTGAACCTGCGCCTGGACACGACCACAACGCATCCCTGAAGTGCCAGCTTCATCAGCCCTGTGAAGGCCTCATGGACACCTCAACAAACTCGTCTCTATACCGATGTGATGACTCCGACCTCCAACCAGATGGAACTGGATAAATATTGTGAATGTTCTGATCCAATCGGACTTCTGACCTGTAATGTTGCCTGAATCATAATCATACACTGTTCGTTCGTTGGCCAGAGGAGAACTGCCCCCCCGACTGAGCCTGGGTTCTCCCAAGGTTTTTTTCTCCATTCTGTCACCTGATGGAGTTTTGGTTCCTTGCCACTGTTGCCTTGGTTTTTGGCTTGCTGGATTTTTTTTTTAGCTGATGATTAACAACAATGAAACCGTACAAAAATGACAAGTAAACGGTTCTTAGAAGGAATATCCTTTTAGGTTTCCACGTGGTCTGTATGGTGTATGATGAGGAGTCTGGGGTAACACCTCTCTACAACCACAGCCACGGAAAATCAACCACGCCGATGAAGCTGTACTGGAAAATTAGACATACCTCCAACATTGATATCCGGAGTGTCTGAGTGACGGCTGATAGGAGTTCAAGTCACACTTTTCCTACTTGTTATGACGTACACGTGAATGTGGGATTTTCTATCATTCACGTTTTTGGTTTAACCATAACGAAACTGTTTGGAGGAGATTAATTAGGACAAAAATAGCAATCTAAAATTAAGCCAAGTCAAGACACGCTTCTTCAGATTTCAGATGGCCTTCCTAGATACATATTCTTAGCTGTAGCATCACCTCAACTGACCTACTAGGAAAGTAGCTTCCCCTTTACGTAACCATACCTGTCTCGCACTACTCATCACTTTAGTCTGTCTTCCTCTCGTTCTCTTTCTCTGTCACTCTCTCTCTTTCTCTGCGTGTAAAGGCTGAGCTGATGAAGTGTTAAAACCTCAAACGCTGGTTGCATCTCCTTATGAGCAACAGAGGAACTCAGTTCTTCTGACATCAGAAAGCCAAAAAAGTCCTTCTTTATCTATATAATCTCTTCTCAGAGTCTTTGCCCTGTATGTGGCAGGTCACATGTGTGATTCTGAGGAACTTCTAGTGAATGTTTCAGCCCACTTTTGTTAATTTTTCCACCAGCTGCATCTAAGAGAGATAAAGCATCAAGGTTAATCACTATTATACTCAAAACATTGTCTTATTTAACTAAAATAACATAAACTTGTGTGATTAGCTGTCAAACTAGCTGTCAGATTGCACAGAAGAGCTGTGTGAACAGTTTATTGCATTTCAATGCATGTTGAAGAAAATGGAATAAGAGAAGATAATTACGCAAGTGGGTATAAGTTAAAAAGCTGCTAAATTTGGTGCAAGGCCATTATTCGAAACCCTAGGATAAGAAAAATACACTACTTCCTTCCCTATTGTCAGTCATTAATGCACACGCATCATTGGAGTGGCCATACCTGCATTACGTTTAGGCCCAGGAGGCCCGGACACCTTACTGAATCAACAAAAAGATTCCAGACCACAAAACCACCAACAGCCCCGCCCAGTGGCATCCACGGGATTCCAGCCGAGAAGATGAGTGGTGGGCTCAATGGTGCAGAGCAGTATCATGGTGCATTGTGATTTATAGGAAACATCGGCTGTAAAAGCCACACAACTTCACACCTAGATCACAGCTCGCTCGCTTGCTTGCTCTCACACATAACTATAAATACCCCATTCACTTGAACAGATGCATTCAGACCATCACCAGGACACAAGAACAGTCGGGTGTCGCGCAACAGGGTAAAAGGCAACTTCAACTTTTAAAAGAGAGGAATACAAGTCCAACTTCAGCGAACACCTGCAACTAACAAGGACTATGATTGCGCAACACATGATGGCCTTTGTCTGGGGAGTATGTTTGATGACTTTGGGATGGATGACATATGCCGAGGCCAGCGTCCCGGAGAACCTGGACAAGAACATTGATGAGCTGAAAGCGTACTATGTAAGTAGACCAGTTCGAATTTCCTTCAAATGTCACATAATAGGCAGGAAGTAAAAAAAAAAAAGCGTTCAAAAAGTTAACTAATAGGGATAGATAAAGGTGTACTGTTCCAGGATACGGCCTGCAAGATATTCAAAGATGGGCCGCAAACCGTTTTGAATAAGCTGGTTTTACAAACTAGTCAAGTTTTACTTAAATTGGGTGGTTAAGAGGTAGTATTATACAAAACAGGAATTATAGTCTACCATTCATACAGACTAAAACTCCTACATATAGGCCTTTCTTGCATGGTGGAAAATGTCTGGTCTGTAGGTTGAGTTTGGGTTTCAGATGCTAATAATAATAAACACATTCATCTGATTAAGTGAGAAGAGATAAGAGTTCAAAATGACATCTGAAGTCTAAAACAGTAACCAATATAAACGATGACCTTTTCATTTCTTCCAGATAAAAGATGACCGTGAGATACACAACGCACACCCTGTCTTCCTGCGGGTGCTGAAAGATTTAAAGGTGAATCTTGAGGTAAATAGCCTCTTTCAAAAAGGCAGAATGGCTTGCTATTTGCACCTTTGTGATCTAAAATATCGAAAAGATACCAGTGTAGCCTTTCTAAACCAAAGGGCATATTGTTTTGATACATCCTATATGGGATATCCTGTGTTGACTGCACATTGTGCTCATGTGTGTTGTTTTTGTGTGGCAGGAAAGTGAACAGAATCTACTGATGAGCATCATTATGGACACATACAGTAGGATATTCACTCGCATGCAGAACGAGAGCCTGGATGAAGCAACAAAAGACAGATTGGCACATGTTCAAGAGCATCTAAAAAAAATGCAAGAAAACTACTTCCCAGGCAAGAGTGCAGAGCTCAAGACATATGCAGAAACCTTATGGGCGATTAAGGTGAGATGGCAGTTTCAGATTCTGTGAAATCTAACTTGACACCAAGAAGCACTGAACACCAAAACTTCAGAGCTATATGTAGCGGTTGTTCCTCTGCGTTGATATAAAAGTATGTTTTTTTCACACCTGCCAATGGCCAGGTAACTGAGAAATTTTACTGGCCCTAAACGAACTGGTCATAAAACTATAACAAATATAAATTGTTGTATTGTATTATATATTGTTCCTTGAAATCTGGTGGGTAACATTTGATTTACTCACCAAAGCAGATTTTATATGCCTCAAAATATATATGAATATCTGCCTCATATTGCCACTACATTTTATCCATCACATTTGAAACATTTAATTCGAACTGATATTTCACAACATTTTGAATGTGACCTTGATTAAAATACCACCTTTGGTAACCACATGAAATGAGTCTTATTTCTAAAAGTGTGTAATCAAGGTTTGTGGGCCAGGCTTTTTGAAACTACGTTTGCCATTACAATGCACACTATATTTGCTAGATACTATACTTGATAAAATTCAAAAACATACAATTTAGAGTGTAAATTTCACTTTTTTACTTTGCGTCCACTCAGAATCAGTAAGATGCCATTATAAAGACATATCACTGATTAAATGCTTTGCAATTGCAGGAAAATGACCCAATCATCCAGCGCAAAGCCTTGTTTGAGCTCAAGCGTGTCTACAGAGAAGCAACACAGATGAGAAACCTGAAGAATAAAGACCGCAGGAGACGACAGGCCAAAAGCATCAGGAGGCAGAAGTCTTAGTAGATCTTGATCATCATTTAAAGAATGGTGGAAAATCAGTGTTATTTATTCTATTTATAAAGCTTATATTGTGCACACATTGTGCGCAAGAGATAATTGTTCAAACTGACAGTATTTATTTGTTCTTATTTATTTGAAAGAATCACTGTAAACCACTTGCTAGTTACATAGCAAAAGTTGTAAGGTGTATGACTAAATAAAATATTTTTAAAATAAATGCTTGTGCTGATTTATTTGACTTTATAAGATATGCCAGTCTACATGCCAAGACATGTTTCTATTTGACACAGTAATGTCTCGTGTCCTTCCCCAGGATTTGAAACTCTTTGTCATCAGTTTCTTTGATTGAAATTTGACTTAGCCCACACATGTCTCTGAATGTCACATTACAGACTAAAGTGCCACTGAAAGCAAAATAAATCATGACTTCCTCATCATATTACACGTTTGAAATCAGACACCAAAGTCAACACATATAGAGCCCATAAAGTACACTTATGTCGCACTTAAAGATGTAAGAATGTCATCGTATTAGATACAAATATCAAACCAAGTGCCATTTTTAAAGACAGCCGACCATGCACACTTTTCAAGTAAAAAAACAAAAAGAAAACTGATAAGTGAAGTAAATTTCGAGAAAAGAATAATTTGTTTGCAGATGCCATTTGATTTGACATTTTGTTTCTGAATACCTTTTAAGACTACTGTAACCCACTAGTGGTCATGTTAACATAGCACAATCTCTTCCTTCACTTATTTTATTTCTATTTAAAAGACTGTCAAGTGACCTACCTGCATGTGACATATAATACTACTCTTATACAATACTTATGGGAATTCCAGGCAAAAAAGAAACATGTCATTAAACAGGTTTGGGCCCTTCTGTTTATGCAAGCAAAGCTTGTCTTTCACATTGCAACTGCACACCACAAACAATAAATTCATTTAAAAAAAAAAAAGTAAAGTTGGAAATTTATACGTATTGTTTGACTGCCAGGAAAATAGAGGCCTTATTATGTCAAGCGGGTGGGGAAAGCGGCCGGCTTTTGTATATATTTCACAGACACTGTTCAAGTTAACAATTAGCATGTGACACAGTGAATTTCCTTGCTGCTTCAAGCTGGCTTATACTACTAATGGTTTGGTGCTGGTCTAACTGCTGGACCAGCATAGCCATGCACTTCACCAGCAAAACATTAAGCTGGTCAACCAGCATGGTCTTTTTGGTGAAGCTAGTTGACCAGTCTTGCTATTTAAGCTTAAATGCTGGGTGATGACACCAGCACCTTACACTGAGGACCAGCTTTCACTGTAGAAGAAATGATGATGCAAGTGTTATTTCTCAGCAAAGGGTTTTTAACTGTTGATGATGCATTCACCACAAACCAGCAGAATGAGAGTATAGATTACAGTCATACTCACACTTGAACAGCATCCATGATTTACTGCTGTCAAGAGATGTCCTTTGCACTTTGCACAGAAAATCTCATGGATCTAAGCATGATTATTATTATTTTTTTCCTTTTGCTTTAAGAGTCATGAAACTACCCATTTCAACACATGCCAGCTCTCACCACAGTTTCGAAAAACACTGCAGACTGTCTGCGGTCCAGCCAGTTTATTTCATTTTAATGAGGTTAACAGTATCAAAGGTTCTCACAGATGCACAAAACAAAATACATACTAAATATTATACAATGTCATTTTCATTTCCTTTTTAAAGTAATGGATACATACAGACCCATTTGCATGCATCTGTGTTGGAGCAATATATATATATGTTTGTCTGCATATAAAGGTGTTGCATAGCTTCCCCACAGTGCTATATGGCAACAGACTTTCCAGAATTTCTGAGAAATAGGGCAAGTTTCTTGGTTTATGCTGAAGGGTTCTATTTCAAAAGTAACTCATATGCATAATCTTATACTGTATGTATATGTGTATATATATATATATATATATATATATATATATATATATATATACATATACATATACATACAAGATTATATATACTTAAATAATTATATATAAGATTATGCATATGCAAATATATATTAAAAACTGCTATTCTGGGATGTTGATTTAAAAATGTGCACCCCTTAATTTTTTTTCAAATTCAATTGAACGGATATGGTTTAGAATAAGTACACACCACTCAATAAAAGGTCTAACAGCTTCTTCTTTATCTTTAACAGCTGAATATGCATATCAGAGCAAAAACCAAGCCATTATGTCAAAATAACTGCCTGTAGAGCTCATAGACAGGTTTGTGTTAAGACACAGAACTAGGGAAGACTACAAAAAAAATGGATGCATTGAAGGTTCACCGAAGCAAGTACCCTCCATAATCCTTAATGCAAGAAGTTTGGAACAACCAGGACTCTTCCTAGAGCGGGCCTCCTGACCAAATTGAGCAATCAATGGAGAAGACCTTGGTTAGAGAATCAAGAAGCTGATGGTCACTCTAGTTGAGCTCCATGATCATATACGGAGATGGGACAAACTTACAGAAGGACAACCATCACTGCAATACTCCACCGATCCGGACTTAATGGCAGAGTGGCCAGACTCAAGCCTCTCCTCAGTGAAGACACATGACAACCCACTTGGAATTTGCAAAAAAAGCACTCTCTCAGACTGTAAGAAACAATATTCTCTGATGAACCTCAGTTCCAAGCATCATGGAGGAAACCAAGCACTGCTTATCACCTGCACAATACCCTCCCAACAGTAAAGTGTGGTGGTAGCAGCATCATGCTCTGGGGGTGTTTTTCAGCGACAGGGATTGGGGGACTCGTCAGGGTAGAAGGAAAGCTCAACGCAGCAAAATATAGAGATCGTCTTAATAAAAACCTAGTCCACATCACTCAAAACCTTAGACATGGCAGAAGGTTCAACTTCCAACAGGAGAATGACCCTAACCACTTAGATAAGAGTAAAAAATGGAAGAGTGGCTTATGGACAACTCTGTGAATGTCCTTGAGCCAGGACTTGAACCCAATCGAACAGCTGTGGAGAAACTTGAAAATGTCTGTCTTCCAATGGTCCCCATCCAACCTGTTAATAGAAATATGGCAGAAAATGCAGATGTGCAAAGATTGTCACATAGCCTATAGCCTACCCCAAAATACTTGAGGCTGCAAAGTGCTTCAAATAAGTACTAAGTGCTGTAAGAATTATACAAATATTTATGCAATATGCTTATTTCCGTTTTTCTTGATTAATAAATGTACAAAGTTGTCACAGTGTTAACACCGTGTCATAACTACACGCGACGCGAAGCTGCGATACGCGATAAAATGTTTTCCATGCAATCAGAGTTGTTGTCCTAACCAGCCGCGACGCCGACACGCGACGATTCTATTTTAGAAACGGTTTCTATTTTTCTGCGACGTCGCGCTGGAACAACAAACACAAAGTGTGGCAATGCTAATCTCAGGTAGGCCTACTGTTTATGTGTTTTATTTAATGTTAAAAGCATGTAATGTTGAATATCATTTAGTACTCCCAGCTTTGTAGCTGTAAAAGCAATAATGGATAATTCACCTCAGACCTTGAAATTAAACAAATGTAAACGAGAACGTTCAAACTGTGAACAAACAAGTGTAGGCCTATTATTTGACAAAGATTGTTTTAGTAACTCAGTAGCCTATGTATTTGAATAATGTTTAAATGGTGTAATACTTGTGAATTTGATTATGTAGCCTAGTAGCCTATACTTATCCATTTTCTTTTTAAGATTACTCTCTGGTGCTGTGCACTTGACGCTATTGGCTATGGGTTTTGATTGATATTTACGCATCTCGCACTCGCGTCGCGTCTATGTGGACAGACAAATTATTTGTAGCTGGAATTTATCGCATCGCGTCTTGCAACATGACATCATGACTTTGCGTAAACATACACGCCACTTTCAATTCAAGTGGCGTGTTATCTATACGCATTTTGAGCTATCCGCGTGTAAGTCCACGCCGAAATCTTTTGCGTGTATGTCTACGCCATTAAATGTCCGAGTGATTCCGCGTGTATGTACGCCGTTAAATGTCCGAGCGAAACGAAGCAAAATCTATATCTACATCTGTGGAGCGATATTTCTTTTCCTAGGATGGTAGGAGAAGACTCATAAATGGTATTAACCCCAGTGACGGGTAGGTTTAGGGACGGGGTTGGGGTAGGTCATATATTTATATATACATAATACAGTAATATAACGTAAAGTCTGCGTCTGGTTAGGACACGGTGTAAAGTAGTGTGAAGTAATGTGTTAGAAATAGAACCCGTGGTGTCAACAGAATCCTAGAAACTTACTCTTAAAAAAATGTTGCCTGATGCCGTATAGCACAGAATTCGAAGCTATGCAACACCTTTATATTTGTTGCACCATCTAGGCAAACACGTGCAACCCTTGTTTCTGTATATTAATTCATAGTGTCTGCAGCATCTGTAATATGGAAAAGTCATGGTAGCAAGGTATGTTGTTATGGGAAGAAGGAGACGGTAACCGTCGAACGTTCAAAGTTTAATAATAAAATAAACAAATACAAAATGAAAGTAAAGGCGGCAGCCCCTCGCGGACGACTGCCGTGCACACACATAATAAAATATAAACAAACACAAAGTAAAATCCAGGCCTGGTCTTCTCTCGTCCTTCACTTCCGCTCCTCCGTGAGAGATACGAGACCAGTGCACCGTTCTCCCACGGCCCTCAACCTTGTCCTGCTCGCCACAGTCATTTGACAGAGAAGACAGGAAAAAATAGAAATATAATCCTGTCAAGAAGGCTTTTGTGACTTTCAGTCCATGTGTGCTAACTTTGAGGTCATGTATATGCTAGTGTACTTCTAAATGTTGACTAAAGATTGATAAATATACATGTTTATATTCCTTATAAACAGTCTTTCCCTTGTAGAAACTGACCAAAAAATATCGATGACTCATCCTGCACTACTCAGATTTTTGTCCAATCAAATGCTAGAATGAAAATTTCCCACCTGCATCTGACTATCAAATAGCAAATCATGGTTTATGGCTGGGATGTAACTAAAGTGAGCCTTGATTTATGATGTATGTTTACATTTTTAAATGGCCCAGTACATAAAGGAGATGTTGAGATTCCTTTCATTTTTAAGCAGCTCAAACTAATTCCTGTTTACATGTACCTACATTTCAAAGAAACAGGGTAAACGCTGATGAAGTGAGGATAAGACAAACACAATTTCTCTGGAAATCCCCTTCCCCTTCCCTCCCCAACCCTATATTCCTTTGTCTCTTCTCATTTAATATATGCTGAGTGCATGACAACAGAAGTTGGAAAGTCCTTGGGTGTGGGGATTGCACGCCACATTTTACAGTGTGCTGCTTTTTGGAAATTCATTTTTAAGGGCAAGTAGACATAATTGAAAGTTTAGTTGGAATTTGCTGTGTTAACCGAGGAAATAAGACTTAAATACATACAGAAATATTTATTTAATTTGTCCAGTAACATGTGGACCTACTTGCACCACTGGAGAATTAATTTTTCTGAAACATTTCCATAATAATATAATTTGCAAAAACATTTCAAATGATGTATTGTGTTTATTACATTTACGTAGTGGAAATGTTGCTGATTTTTAAAATAAAATAGCTGACGTCTTTGTCTTGCCAAGGCTAATTTCATAGCAATTTTTATAAATAAAATCAGTTATAACATTAAAAAGTAATAACCAAAGCCTCGTTTGACCTCAAAAACAAAAAAGATTGAGATGAGATGTTGGAAAGTGGCCTAGATTTCAATTCCCCCTAAGTTTCCGTTGGTGACCCCTTATCACCTTATCAGATGATCAGTCATCTCATTCCATTTCTGTTCAGAATTTTTTTTAGTCTAGCCTTAGCATCTCAAACCTGCAAATTCAATATTAAATTCTTTCTAATTGTCTTTAAGTATCATTATCATAGTGCCATTTATGTTGCCAATGAACTTTCCTTGACCAAGACTGTGGTTTGTGTAGATATTTAGAATCTGGGACATCCTCGAGCCGCATAAATGTCATGACCTCGTTTTAGAGTTGTATTACAATTTTGTGGTGACTTTCTTTTATTTAAGCTCCCTCGAAAAGCATGAAGCTGCCAGAAAACATTGCATTCTGCATTGACAATCTAAGCCCAGACATGATGCCCACTGGATACATAACCTAAAATGGATTACGTTACGGTTTCACAGCCTGACATCATCGTTTGATCTGAACGGACAAGGTAGAAAAGCAGGAAAGGACCATGCTGACGTCACCAGGAAACTAGAATAAATATAAAGGTGAGGACCAAAGCGAAGGCAAAAGAAGGAAGAAAAGAATGAGACAGGTGTATCAGCAGGACCTCCATTCAGAAACATTACTTTAGTCATTTGGGGACAGAATATGGCTAGTGCTTTGCAATATTTTGTTCTGATCCTAATTCTTGGCATTCCGATACATGAGTGCACGGTGGTTTTCCAAAATGAAAACTGCATCAAAGAGGGTCCTTGTTTTGATCTGAACTTGCTGGCGAATATAGCCGTGCATGTCAGCAAAGATGTGGTGAGTACTCTGATTCTACTATCAGTCTTGTGTTAGAACTCAAATTGCCAAATAACTGCATGCACATAACGAAATCAGTACAAAGCAAGAATGATATGGTCATGGAAATAATCTTGCGTGACAACAAAGGGCTGTAACTAGATAAGAAAAGGTGTTCATGTGAAGAATCAGTTTACTAACACGTTTTTTTGAAAATGCCCTGGAGACATTGAATATTTCAATATATGATGGTTTGAATATTCCTCTTAGGTAGCTGCAGATGGTGAGAAGATCCTCCTGAGGCACAATTCCTTTGACAAAATACGGAAAAGGGTAAGAGGCATTGTCTGAGTTCATATTATAAGTTATCGTATATCATACTCTCATATTCAGTGCATAAATCCAGTTACTGAATGAAAAAATCAAAATAAAAGTAATATGAATGTAATGAAATCAATCTGGGGCCGTGTTATGAGGTGGGGCTCAATCAGGTCCTATATGATACACAATTGTGCCTTAACTCAAGAAGCCCAACCCATACAAATGTTGTCTTGGGCCCCATGAATTTTAGCAATAATCTTGATAAACCTATAAAAAAAACTGATTTCTATGTCATATGTCACATATTTCAGTCTTTTAGCTTGACAATATATGACTTAATTCCAATACGTGGAAACCTTTATCTGCATACTATCATGCCATCTGCAATTCGGATGGCATCCGATTTCACACATTTCATGTAAACTAAACTGTATCTTTTTCATTTATCAGAAAAATCTTCACAGCTGTATCCTGCTGGAAATCATCGACCTATTTCAAAAGGTTCTCATTGAGACAGAGAGGACGTCACCTGTCCCTCACAAAGACATTAACTACCATCGTGAGCTTATACACATTTTGGATCAACTCAGAAACTGTGTTTATAAGGTCAGCACATTCTATTTTCAGAATAGATATTAAACCATGTCATGTTAAATCACTGTGCCTTTGGGCGATTATATCACATAGCTATATCTTAGAGGGAAAATAGAAAGCTGGAAAAAAATGGGTAATGGGTAACAGCATGTACGTAACTAGCAGAACTTCACCAGCTTTGACGTTCATTCTGGCCTCATGGGTTAGCAATATAGCATTTTACCTCATATGTTTTAGCTCTAAACAAAAGTCCAAAAGGGTATTCATTTAGGCCGGACTGAACAACTGACTAATTTCTTTACTCCCTCTTCCTTGTTTCAGATAAAATGTAATAAGCTATATGAAAAGGCTGCAACTTCCCCCATAAACGTAAATATTCTTGTACATGTTTTAAATAAATATATATTATTTATTATTAGTACATTTTACTCAGAAGGAATTCAAACACACTTCTTTTATCCAGATTCCGGAGAAAGAAATGAAACCAAAACAGCTTGCTATCTTACAGCTACAAAAACTGAAGAATGCCAATGAGAGGGTAAGTATTGAACTATTGAAAGACTGATTAAATTTGTCCGTGTGTGTGTGTGTGTGTGTGTGTGTGTGTTATAAACTCTATCTTCACAACTTACAGCTCAGTGATGTGCATATCCAGGAGAGCGTCATGGATGAGCTAAAAACCCTCCATCTCTACATGCGGGGAAAAGGCTTCCGGAAAAATACGAATGACTATGGAGAGGCATAGCGTTCCATGAATTGCAGCCAACAATGTGTTATGTAACATCTCTGCCCGTTCACTTTAAGACGTGACAGTTTAAGCAGGGACAGAATAACAAGCTATCTCTTCTAAATTAGACCACATTTTCCAAACCTTTTGTTTCTAATATGGAATTTTTGTTGTTAATGCTTTTAGTGCAAATACCTTTTTTGCTTTATTTTAAGTAATGAGTATTTAAACAGTATATGCATATTGCTTACGTACTTTCGGTGAAAGATTGAGTGTACTGCAGTAAACGCAGGTGAGAAAATAGACCAAGTATAGATATGTTTTGTTAACGAAAACACAAGATAAATGTTTTCCTTGTTTTCTATTCATTTTTCTATTCCTAAGTGAATATGCTTAAGTGTGTTTGTATCTATATCTATCTATCCATCTATCCATCTATCTATCTATCTATCTATCTATCTATCTATCTATCTATCTATCTATCTATCTATCTATCTATCTATCTATCTATCTATCTATCTATCTATCTATCTATCTATCTATCTATCTATCTATTTCCTTCTTTCTTTCAACTACAAGCTCTAACAGAACTGCAGTTTGTCTCCTGTGCATTTGACACTCATGCTCCTGCGACTGATGGGATGCATGCACAAAACTCATGCAAGTTAAAAGCAGAGCAAGTATGTGACACTCATTATTACTTAGTGATGGTGAGATAGTGGTTCTTTAACACAATGCCAAACCCATAACGCATATCTAATGTAATCTATGACATGCTAATTTTGTGTAATTTTGTAATAAATGTACTTTTTTTTTTTTTGAGAATGAGCATGGCATGCCATGCAACCCTTTTCATGCTGGCATCTGTCTAATTTGTAACTAAGTTTTTCTCAATCGCTTTGGCACATTTTTCTAAACATTCTTAACATTCTCTAAACTGTAAGCTTATTTGTCACAACTGTTTGCTTGAACTCTATTGCATGTCTGCAAAATGTAGTTACTCACCCAAAACATTTAATTCATGCTTCAAAACCTATTGTGTCAGTAAATTGGCCAATGCCACCAAAATAAAAAGTGTTTTTGTCTTCGTGTAAGCCACACTGGTTGAAATGTTTAGATGTTTTGGTAGCACGTTATTTTAGTCCTGTTACCTGTGCATATTATAGTTATTACAATAACTTGGTAATAACTAGGCACTAACTCTAAACTTACCCCTAAACCTAACCTCAACCTATATAGTTATAGTTACCAGTACTTTAGGTACACTGTAAGTACACATGTAAAATAAAGTGCAACCGATGAAAATATTTTTTATATACAAATTTCATGTGTAATACAAAAACGTCAGTTACATTTTGTGTATCACTGAGCTTATTAGATACAGATTTCAGCAGTAGTTAAAAATGTTCTAGTAAAAGTCAATAAAGTACACAAAAAGAAAATGGACATTTAGTCACACTTTATATTAGGTGTCCTTTACATACATCAAAGTACAGTGTACTTATTTTTTGTTCATATTGGATTGCAAAACACCTGTGCTGCTATTGAGGTGGGATGCAGGTATGGTTAGGTTTAGTGGTATGGGTGGTTTCATGGGTCAGGGAAGGGTCAACAGTGTCATTCTATATTTAATTACAGCTGTAATTACATGTAGATATTTTATAAATGTAAGTACAATGTAAAAACGTATGTACACAATAAGTGCATTGTATCAAATGATTAATTTACAGTAAATGTCAGTATAGTACATAGTAGGCTAAAGACACCTAAAGTGGGACCAAACATTTTTAACACATTTTATTTTTACAGAAATGTAAAATGGCCTGATGAAATTGTGTATCTTACCAATCAACCAATCAAGTTGCATGCAAACTGAAAATTCACAGTTGCTTCTTCATTTTGACATATTCTATTATGTCTTATACATGTAACTTGATTGGTTGATTGGTATTGTGATTCCTATTTCATTACAATGGCAGGCAATTTGCCAATTTAGCAGACATTACAAACATTCCATGTCAAATGTATTTATGGAATATACACTCTAAAAAATGCTGGGTTGTTTTAACCCAATTTTGGATAAAATATGAACAAACACAAATGTTGGGTTAAAAATTTAATTTAAAAATGTAATCCAGCGGCTGGGTTTGTCCTTATTTGCCCGGAAGTTGGGTTGAAACAACCCAGCAGTTTTTAGAGTGTACATGAATGTCCAACAGATTTTCATCATTGAATGGATCATTTTGCATGCGAAGGCTCACACGATGGAAGAATGTTTAGAAGTTGTGAAGAGTTTGACAGTTTCACTGAGAATCAACTCATCATTTTTGATCAACAAACCATGTGTATTATTGTGCAAATCGTAGACAATTGTACTTACTCTTTTGCATGCAGTGCCAAAACACATGCAATTTGCTTAAATCAATACGAAATTCAAATCCGATCATATGAACTTATTGTTTTGAGAGAAAAAAAGTGAGAAAAACTGTAACATCACAATATACCATAGAGTTTTAAACCTAAACTTGACATAAACTGCAAACTTGACCCTCAAATCTGATTGGTTAATTGGAATGTTGTTCCAGGATCAACAAAGATTTTGATCCAGGTACAATCACATTCACCATAGAGTTTGATAGGATGCACAACAACTAAAGATATTTTCCTTTTCGCCTCCCTATAAGGGCCTATTTGTATTTTGCTGTTCTAACTAAGCATGATTGTTACATTTTATAATTTTCATTAAGCATTATTTCACCCTCCTTTTTGAATCATCACCAATTATTCACTGGAATACATTATATTTAGTTAGCAGGTTAGATTATTTTTAAGTCAAACAAATGCTCCAGTAGTGATGTGCTTGTTCAAGTTAATTCAATTCTTAACATTTTTTGCTTGCTCATGTTGTCTTTCTAAAAAAATAAAGAAAAAAATTAGTAAAAGTTAAAAAAAAAAGAAAAAAAAAGAAAGAACTTAAAAGCGAAACTACACACCGTGACCAGGCAGGATATCATTGCTGCTAAGCTTTAAAACAACATTGACTTATAGGGTGCCAAAAGCTTCTCAGATCTTGATGTTATCTCATCTGAATCATGCTGAAAAACAGCTAGAGACAGACAAGACACAGCACCGCCCCCAACGGAAACTGTGACATGGCGAGGAAAGCGAATGTAAAGAAAATAAAGAAGGTAATTAATAAATTAAAGATCTATAAATCTTTGATCATCTTCTAGGACTAACAGGATGATTAAACACTTGTGATTGCTTCTCTACTTCATGAACGCATGGTTGCAACAGCCCTGTCTGGACGCTCTGCCTCGTCGCATAAAGTGATGTCACTGAGAAACCCCCCGTGTCCCGTCACTTCTGGTAAGCGAGAGCTTGTGAAGCTTACGATAAGTAGAGCAGAGCAGACCACAGACTCATCCTTCTACTGAAGGGTGGTGTACAACACAAATAGAGTGAGAGAGTACCTGGGTAAGATACAGTGACAGTCTGAAGAATTTGGTGAGAATCAATTAAGGTGCTTTTCACAGGAAAACATCGTTGCTGGCTGGCTTCTTAAAGGCGACAAATGAAAATAAATAAAATAAAACATGACAGTGTTACTATTTCCTATAAGAATAGCTGGATCTCCTTTCACCTGTTGCAATTCCTGTGAAAATTAAATATTTATGTTACCTGATCATGAGCCGTTTGAAAACAAGACCAGCAAACAGTCAGCAAGTTATCTGACAAGGCATTCAAGTTGAAAATAAAAGTATATCTATTTATATGTGTGCAAATATTGAAATATGAGTGGGTGTTCATCAGCACTTTCGTTTCACACTGCTGTGCATCCAAAATGCACCATGAGCATCTCTGCTCTACACACACGTTAATGACATCAGCTTTTAGAGGCTTTTTCCTTGAACCACTGAGAATTAAAGCTTATGTGGAATCAGCATTGAGGTGGAAGAAAAATAACTACAAATTATTTGGCATATATATATATATGTATAAACAACTCATTGTCAAAATTATGATATTGTTTTACAATTTTAATTAAGTTATACATGTATACATATATGAAAATATGTGCTATAGACACAAAATGTCAGTTCGATGCTTAAATGGCATACAGCTATAGTAATGAAATGAGGAAGATGAGAAAGAATTGATCAGGTCAGAACAAAAAGTCATGACTTTAGTTAATCGCAAACTTTGAAGTCATACAGTTCTCCTCACCGCATTACCCTCCGAAATCGAAATTCACCCACCTATCATTGAAATTCACCGCTGCTTAAAGTTTCGGGGAGAATGTTCAGGAACTGGCACATTGTGTAGGTTGAGGATTTCTAAAGGTTCCGCTGTCATACATGGGCTTCCATCAATCAAGGCCCTCGTGCTATATGTGCATTGAGACATGCTAAGAAGAAATGATCTTTTCGTAGTATGATTACAAAACACGAGACACATGTCTACGGACAATCACACACTATGTTTGGAAAGGTCAAGTGTAAAATCCTCATCAAGTAAAACACCTAAAAGTCTTGCAACATATCCATAGATAGCTACATTTAATTGAAATGTCACTGATGTTGACCCCGGTAACCCCCAATAGACTCAAGGTGACTGTATACTTTTCACAATTTGGAAGTATACCATACAAATAAAATCTGGACATTGAAACACAACTCATTCAAAATAATTCGACTCTCGTCAACATCCACATCTTGCAAGAGTCGTTCCGGAAGCCAGGTACAAAGTGGTTTGGAGATAAAGATCAGAAACTCAAATAGAAAATTATATTGATGCATAGCATGAAACCAAAACAGACACAAATGAGCTGAGACATCCTCTTTCAGAGTAATTCGACTGTAGATACATGTGTCAGGCTTGTAGCAGGTGCACTAAACCACAAACTATTGTCACTGATACTTGGGATCAAGATAAAGAAAAGCTAGACTCATTGATTTGTCGCTAGGGTGTTACTAAGCAATTTAGGGTGTTCTGGTTGGTTGATAGGGCACTGCTAGGCCGATGCTAAAGTGTTGTGGAAAGTTTTTAGGGCCTAGCAACTGGCTACTACTAAGAAGAACATTCAGTTGGCTATAATTGGCCAACATGCTTTCTTTTTAAAACAGGAACAACATCAAACTACGAAACATCTTGCATCAGTTATACCATTATTTACAACTGACTTTGGCCAAGTAGATGTTTGTGCATTGGTACGCATACATTCAACCTATATCTTAGCCCTTGCAGCACCTCATTTGCATATAGAAAAGCGCAGAAGCAATTTAGTTTCCATGAGTTGTCAT